GGATTGATCGTACCGAAGACCGAAAGAAGATTGCCTTGGAGGAACGATGGCTATTGTATTGTGCGAACAAACCATCGGCTCACCATCTTCCTGTCCAGATGAAGCCATGCTAAGCCTTCGTCTGCCATTTGGCAAATATGGTCAAAGGAGAAACCATAATTTATTTTTGAAAACCCACCAATTACAATCAGTCAGCACCCCTTCCTGGCTTCTTGTATTTGATACGTTTTTTTCGTCAATTATGATCTCTCGCTTATCAGACAAGAGCTTAGTTTAGCCTAGCTAAAGACAAATTCCCTCCAATCAAATGAAGATTCATGTCATATTAATTTACTAAGGGACATTTCGAAACAAAATTTTTTCTTCATAAATCCACTGTCATTTTGCATAATTCATGCTTCATCCCACTAGGCATTTAATATTTGTTTACATTAACTTCAACATGCTGCTGATGTCGTCGATAGTACCATCTGGTTTTTAAGTGGAGCCAAACAAAACTGGCCTGGACAAAAAATTCAACACGCTACACCCCACAGGTTCACCTTGCATGGCTTGTCTATAGGGTTGCCCCTCATCTGCAGGCCGGCAACAGGATCGGCTTCGGTCTGTCCGACTCCGTCGGTAGCAGAAGGCACCTGCCTGCTCGACCCGGCCTGTTTATGGGCCAAAGCGGTGGGAACAAGGGAGCGTCGGTGCCGTTCGAGATCGCGCCAACTGGCAAAAGTGGCGTCGCAATGGGCACACGTTGGTTGCCGATGGCACTGCGGTTGCATTCGCTTGTGCCGACACAGATTGCTGTATTGCGTGTACGCCTTGTGGCAGTGCTAGAGAGAGAGAGAGAGAAAAAAAATAGGGGGAGAGAAAGACATAGACATAGACTTAGAGAAAGTGGAAGGAGGAGGGTGAGGGGGAAGTACAGATAAGGTAGTTAGGAGTGGGTTAAAATGTAAGCAATCCAAGCAGTCGGTGGGCCGAGAGGTGCTCTGGAAGAGCCTAAGCCGATTGGCAACTTTCTTTCTGAACGGCCTCGAACTTGCTTTTGGCGCCGCTGCAAGGCGAACAGGATTGTCAATCAAATGAACGACTGAGAAGTCGGGACTTGGAAAGCCAGAAGGACTCTGTTGAACTCACTTGAACGTCGAGGGCGGCCTTCACAAAAAGACTCGGGCAGGCGAAATGAGGACGCCTCGGATTGTGGCACAAATGGCGGCGATTCGAAAGGCCCCAAGAGATCGATAAT